ATTATTATTATTATTATTATTATTACCATTGTTATTATTACCACTATCGCTATTACTGATACTGTTATCGTTATTCTTACTTCATATGTTATGACTATTGTTATTACAATTACCACAGCCATTATCAAAAGCAAGGTCTCTTCTCGAACCACATTACCATTTTTACAGCACTGCTATTATTATTTTTTCCTTTTTGACTTTCTCCTAACTGAATGAAGGATTGTCATATAACTCGCTTAATTTCCGGAAACTCGAATGGAATTCGGATTTGCGTACCACGTATAAATGTTAATTTTTCTTAACTTCACCTGTCGCTTCTTTTGCAGTTTTGACGTTACAGGTTTTATCATGTCGTATTTCACGCTACGCCCTAAACAAGTTAGTTTCGATGAAATATGGGAACGGCTTCAAACTACGTTGGAAAAAATATTACGTCTTGAACGGTTAGAACGTCGCACATGGGATGATAATTTTTAGTGGGTTTTTAGCAATTTCCGACGATTTGTATCTTCCGTTTTCATCATAGTCCTAAACGCCTTGCTTACAACTGTTTTATTTGCAGTGATATATATTCGCTGTGCGTAGCTGTACCCGAATCTCTAAGTGCGGAGCTTTATGAAAAAACCAGAGAATTTTTGAAAGAGCATGTTCATGGATTGTATGAGGTTAGGACTCTTTACTTTTACACTTGTCACTGGGGTAAAATAATTTTTTTATTTTTTCAGTATATATCGGGCGTTGCAGATGAAAATTTATTAAGCGAATATAATGCGCTATGGAAAGTCTACCATCAAGGCACAACATATATACACAAGCTTTTTATGTTAGCATTTCGTTAACTATTTTTCTTTAGCTGCGTTTTTGATATTTATTTTTCAAAGAAATTTTGGTATACTTCAATGTTTTTTCAGCTACCTTAACAAACAGTTTGTCAAGAGCAAGCATGCGGAATGTGAGGGGCCTTATGGTGGCTACAATCAGTATCTCTCTCATTGCGAGGTTAAGGAAATTGGTCCAGTAAGTTTTTACTGAAATTTAAATTTATTTTTCTTAGACTAATCAAGTTAATTATACACTTTTTTCCTTGAATTTTAGTGAACAAAACATCTCAGCTTATTAAATTTGTGTCGAAGAGTAAAGCCAAATAAAGCATGGTATAGCCTTGTCTATTCTATCAAACTCGAAGTTAACTTTTCAGTTAGCATTGCTAATTTGGCAAGAAAAGTTAATTCGACCTATTGAGGATCGTTTGGTTATCCAGTTGTTGAAAGCTATTGCAGCTGATCGGAAGGGACATGTGATATTTAAGGTTGAAGTCGTGCGCAGTGTCATAATGTCGTTTATTCAGGTTAAATGTTTGCTTTTTTAGGAGCTGTCCTCGTTTTTTTTTTCGAGAAAGAGCATCTTACTTAAATGTGTTTTTAGGTGGACGATGTCGGTCTCCTTAGAGATTCGTCTGATAAACTGTTGCACGGTAAAGAGGTTAACTACGAAACGTACAAAAATATTTTTGAGAAGAAGTTTTTGTTTGCTACGATAGAACACTACACTCTTTTGGCCAATTCTTTCATTAACGAGCTCAGTTGTTCAGAATACATGGAAAGAGTGAGATAGTTTGATTTCATTAGCGGTTCAAGTTTTACTTTATGTTTTATTGTTTCTAAATTTATCTTTCCTTGCTTACATCTTTTTGAAAATTTTTTCAAAATATGAAGGTTATTGCGTGTATTGAAAATGAGAATGAGAGGTCGCGACGTTATTTACATAAAAGTAGCTATGATGTTGTTACAAGACTGTGTCAAGACGTAATGGTCAGCAACCATAAAGAGAAGCTACATGCTGTGTGCCATGAACTAATTCAAAATGAGGAGAAGCATGGTAGGGATTTGTTATTGTTAACTCAAGTTTTGTAAAGAGTAACTAATATAATTAGTTGTCGAGAGGAGCCAATTAATACTGCATTGCGAAAGTGACAGTATTAAAGCAAACTCGATTACAAAAAATAAATAATATTATTTGAAATTGTAAAAGCTTTTTCTCAAACTTTTTTATCAAGCATTGATAGGAGAGATAACGAGGGCAATAAAACTACTGTCGTTCTAAGGTGAAAAACTAAATGGTTATTTTAAGAGGGCCGTTGATGAAGAGGTAGAGGAGGCTGTTAACACTTTCGTATTTTTCATGGAAAGTTTATGGTATGTTAGTCAAGAGTCAATATTTGGATATTTATCATGAGAAAACTTTTAGATCTTCACAATATGTATGTTTTGTTGAAACCTGTACAAGGATTAAATATTATGATTCGCGAATTTGAAGCGTTTGTCAAAAAGACAGGGCTTGATGCAGTACGAAACCTACAGGGTGACAACATACCACAACAATTTGTTGATAGTGTTTTGCAGGCGGGTTTTTTCAAAGACAGAATTTTTTTTGGAAGTTATAATTTTTGATGGTTACTTTTTGTTGTTGTAAGTTTTGTCGGAGAGAGTCTATTCAAGTGTTTAAGGTGTACAATAAATTCAATGCTATGGTTACCGAAGTTTTTGCTGACGATGGAGATTTTGCGGGAGCACTGGATAAGGCAAGTTCTCTTTAAAATTTTCTTCGTTTTAAATCTGCCTTTGTTCTTAACCTATAAAACTTTTTAGGCTTTACAAGCTGTCGTGAACTATCGCGAAGAACAGAAACAGTCACCAAAAGCCTCTGAAAGGGTATCGTTTGTTGATTTTTTTCTTTTTTTTTTTTCAGTGCTGCATTTCCATTTTTAGTAACCCTTCTTTTTAGTTGGCTCGTTATACAGATAATTTGCTGCGAAAATCAGCAAAAGGATTAAGTGAAGCGGAGGTGGATGCAAGATTGTCGCAAGCGATAATTATTTTCCGATACATTGATGAAAAAGACGTTTTTCAAAAGGTTGCTTTGAAATTAAAAATCAAACTGATTCTCTGCTTATTTTTCATCTAGTAGAGATTTTACAGCAAGTAAAGTAGCATGTATTTAGTTCTACTCAAAAATGTTGGCAAATCGACTTATAACCAATGCATCTGTTTCAAAAGACGCTGAAGAGTCCATGATTAACAAGCTTAAGGCATGTTAATATTGTTAAAATTTTTTCTTATAATTTTTTATTGTAGGTACTACTTAAGAAAATTTATTATTCTATAACCTTGTTAGCACGGTCTTGAGTTACATGATAAATTTTCTATTTTTGAATTTAACATAGTTTATATGCTTATTTTTCACCCCACCGTGTAAATTCTTTTTTAAATCTAGTTAATTTTTTTTTCAATCAGCTTTGGAATAGTAATTTCATTTATACCTTCTTTGCTTAAATTATTCTTTTAGTCAAATTTGCCGCAGACTTTGAAATGCTTCTTTAAATTTTTCGGTGGAATGAATAGTAGACATCAAAGTAGCTAAATTAATAAACGACAAATGGAGGGTAAAAAACGCTTTTACATAGCGCTGAAATGTGTTTAAATGGCAGTTGAAGCTTTTGGTTTCAGCAGGCTTGTGGCTTTGAATTTACTAGCAAATTGTCCCGGATGTTTACGGACATAGGTCTCACTCAGGATCTCACCGAGAAATTCATTAAGGTTGTTTTTCTCTTTCTTGTGAGCTCTTTCGCAAACTTGTAAAGAAGCAGTGGAGTGATTTTGCAGGAGAAGCCCTCACTAAAAGAGCAAATGCAAGCGTTGGTATTACAAGCTGGGGCATGGCCGTTGACACCTAATCAGGCACAAGGTTGGTTTCTTTGGTTTTCATAAAATGAAATCAAGAAATTTTTTTGCTTTTGCTTTTTTTAACCAGCTTTTTCTGTTTTTTTCTGTTTTTTTTTCTTTTTTTTTTTACTGCTGTTAAAACAATGAACTTTGTTGAATTCATTACATTATTAGACGGTTGAACGTAATTATCGTTTTTTTGAAGAAAATTGTGACAAAGATCAGTATAAAAACACATTTAAAATTCCTGATATGCTGTACTCTTCCATACAACAGTTTGAGGAATATTACCACAATTCACATAATGGTCGGAAACTCACATGGCTTTTCAATCTTTCCACAGGTAACTAACCTATTTGGATAAGAAACCTTATCTTTTTACAAACTTTATTTTCTTTTTTTTGTCTCAAAATTTATGAAGTTATCTGATTGTTGAGTAAAATGTTGAAGCCATAACTCCCAAATAAATTGGTGTTTTTTAATATTATAGGACAATACACAATTGTCATGTCTGGAAAGTAAAACAAGTCGCAATGAAAAGTCCAAATTCGTTTTTGGCTGAAACTTCTGGTTTTTTTATGTTTTGTAGATGAGTGCTGTGTTATTTGTTTTTCTTCTAACTATGCCCTTCACTCTAAACGTTTTATCTTGAAGAAGAAGGTGTCGAAATTAGTCTGAACAGAGTAGACTAAGTCAGATTTACATGTATAATGGTCTAAATTTGTTGTTTTTATATTTTTCTTGTCAAGCTTTTTGGAACACCACTTTCCAGAGTAGATGTTTGGTTCATAGTAAATTCATCTTTTTAAAGATTTAATAAGTTTTTACTCTTCCCTTGCTTTTATATAAGGTGGGAGGAGGTGAGGAGCGCTGATTCGGTTAGATTTACATAGAAACTTTTTAAATATTTTGTTATCTGCTGAATTATGTGTACGAAAAATATTTTGTACCATAGTTTATTCTGGCATTCGTTTTTCAGTTGAACTGAAACTGCTATATCTTGATAAAATTTATATTGTCACAATGACTGTACACCAGCTAGGTATTTTGTCGACTTTTTCGGATGAAGATGTCGTTATGGTCAGCAAAATCGGGGATTTTTGTGGTCTTAGTGGTGATTTGCTGTATAAAAATATAAGAACACTTGTGGATGCCGGTATTTTATTTGTGGTTGATAAGGTTCGTATTCAGTTGCTTTGTTTTTCCTTTT